GGAGAGGGTGAAGGGAAAAGGAAATGGAGACGAAAAGGGAAATGGAAAAGAGAGCCGGTGAACAAAAACCCTTGAAGGAGAGGGTGAAGGGAAAAAGAAATGGAGACGAAAAGGGAAACGGAAAAGAGAGCCGGTGAATATTGAAAGGTTTTGAGTAAATATTAGCTTGAGAAAAGGGGAGAGCAGATAAATCAATTTTCAGGCCTTAGAAGAGGCCACGTCACTGGACGTGGTTTCTTCTTTAATATATATAAGATTACTCTGCTTTATGATATTGGACGGTGTATTGGTATCAAAGTAACATTACACAAATCTGTTATAAGTTATCATCGTACAAAGCAATTCCCGGTAAGGGGCTTCGTCGCTCAAAGTGTTGTCAAGTAAGGGGCTTCGTCGCTCAAAATGTTGTCCGGTAAGGGGCTTCGTCGCTCAAAGTGGTTGTCTGTTAAGGGGGTTTCTTCGCTCATATTATCGTTTGGATATGAGTCCTCATCGCTCACAGGGCTGTCCGGATAAGGAGATTCATCATTCAGGGTAGTATCTGGATGAGAATGTTTATCACTCAGTATAGCTTAGTGTATTGCCCAGATCAACGTGTTTTGAATTTTGATTAATAAACTTTCTTATGGAGATACATGGCGGTGTAAAGGGTTGTGCATAATCCGACCCAACCCGAATAACCCGACCGAAAAACCTGATTCGAATAGATGTATATGAACCGAACCAACCCGAGGTCCGAAATCCAAAAATTATATCGGGTTAGTCGGATCAGGTAGGATCTCATGATCCAAAACCCGAACCCATCTGAAACCCGAAGAAACAAAAAGACTTTATTTTTGTAGGGATTCAATCGTCCGACTCTGACCGCGACCTGTGCTCACGACTCTGCATCTCTGCCTCTTTCGAGTTTCGATCGACTGTATAATTGATTAGAACATGCTGTTTTAAGCTATAATTGGACTTATCGTATTTCATCAATTGATTGATATAGTTGAGTGGTGGTCAACATATGGAGGGGCTTGTCCAAACTTGGCTCGCTTAGCCATTCGAATTCTTAGTCAAACTTGTAGTTTGGTTGGGTCATGGGTGTAGGCCAAACATGATCCCTTTCCAATAGATTCATGAAATACAGAGTTATGTTGAACACCAGAGGCTCAGTGATGTTGTATTTGTTCAATACAACATTAGATTAAAGCAAATGTAAGTCCCAATTGTTTCTTGTTTATTTCATTAAAAAATATTTATTTTCTATATGGAAAGATTCTAAAGACAAATGATCTTCTAGGTTTTTAAACAAAGGGCAAGATAACCCTGATCCCATTTATGACATCAATTATGTTGAGCCATGGGTAACATAGAGGGAGATTCAAACAGATGATATTGGTAGGTCAGATTGGATGACATTTGATCCACCGTTAAGTAACATTATGGTTTTAGGACCCTAAGTTGATGATGTTGAAGCCCTTGGTGAAGGGTTTGATGATCATGAGATTTTTGATCGGTTGAAAGATGGTGAAGATGAAAACGGTGAAAATAATATACAACAAGGAGGGTCCTTAGGGAAGCACTGCAGGAGCAAAGTTATTGGAAATGCTATGTGTCTGCTGTTGGATGCTTATTTCAAGTGCTGGTACTTTGGTTTTGGATTTGGTCTCTAATCAGAATTGGCTGTAGATGGTGGTTGTAGATTTCAAATAATTTTCAAGTGATGGTACTATTGCTTTACTTATGAGTTATGATGCCTTAACAGTTGGCGTTGCTGTCTAGGATGCAGCCTGGAGGATTGGTTATATTGTTATCTCAATTACCCGAACCGAACTAGCTCGAACCCGAACTTCCCCCGAACCTGAATTGCGTATTATGCGGTATGATATTATAACCCGATAACTGATCGGCTTCGTCCTTTTATGGTCAGATCCGACCCGATCCAACCCGTGCACACCCCTAGATAGATAGATGTTGGTGTAACCGTGATGGATATTTGATAAGCATATCATTAAAAGTCAAGTCTGAACTTTATTATATTAAAGTATTATGGCAGGTTTTAATTACAAGAGGGAATTCACTCACTAGACCTTCCAGTCTAACCCTCAGTTATTGTGATAATTTATTTTGTAGGTCATCCAACGTTGAAGGATAAAGGCAAAGGGAATATGTTAACTGAATCTTGGAAGAAAGTTTTTGTTATGATAACTTTTTGAGTTCAGACTTTTTGTTCTTATATATAAACAAGACTGAACTGTTTGTAAATATTGGAACCTGATGTATGCTTTAGCATGTATTTTAATTGTTAGGTTGTTTCAATATTTGCCTTTAATCGTGGACAAATACCTTTAAATCTATAAGGAAAAAAATCTGGTCACCACCAATATAAAAAAATGAAAGAAATAAAACATCCTTAGAATTAAATCATCTTCTCTGATCAACTCATTATTACAATGAGATAAATTCTAAATCTAAGACGCTAATACAAGACCTCTACATTCTCCGGTCCTACCCCGCCCACCTCCACTCACACAATCCATAAACATGAACAATAAAGACAAAACTCGTCTCACCACTCTCCATCCCCACCAACCACCATATTATGCACAACACATTCATAAAAAATGAAACCCTAAAGTCTTTTCATCTTCATCTTCACATTTCTT